ACTATGGAAAGAATCGAAAATTATACCGGTCTATAAGAAGGGGCCTAAATCAGTCATTTGCAACTACCGCCCTATAGTAATTATTAATAATTTTTCAAAATCCTTTGAAATTCTTCTCTACGATGAAATCTATTCGCACGTTATAAATCAAATTACCCCTAGTCAACATGGTTTCTTCAAAGGAAAGTCAACGGTCACAAATTTAGTTTGCATCACAGGGAAGTTATCTGATACCATTGATGATAGCTCTCAATGTGATGTTATTTATACGGATTTCTCGAAGGCATTCGATAGGCTGGACCATGGAACTCTACTTCACAAACTTTCGAACTATGGACTAACTCCAAATCTCACATCATTTTTTCAATCTCACCTTCTTGATAGAAAGCAGTATGTAAGCTTCCATGGTCATAGGTCTATTGAAGTCCTTCCTACGTCAGGTGTGCCCCAGGGGTCTGACCTCGGGCCCTTATTATTCATAATGTTCATCAATGACATTGTAGATACTCTCACCATCAATCACCTATTGTATGCTGATGATCTTAAGATATACCATGAAATTTTCACCGAAGAGGATTGTACTGTTCTACAAGACAATCTCAACAGACCAAATGCCTGGTGCATCGAGAATAACTTATTCCTTAATGTCTCCAAATGTCATGTTATGTCGTTTACCGCCAAGGTGAATCCAATTATTTTCAATTTTAAACTAGGCAATGTATTGAACCGACCTGAAACTTTCCAAGATCTAGGAGTGATATTTGAAAAAAAAAAAACTATCGTTTGGAAATCATATCGAGCAAGTCATCAAAAAAACGTATAGATCTTTGGGATTCATTATTAGAGTATCAACAAATTTTGGAAGAAATGAGAAAATGCTTCTGCAATTATATTTCACATTTGTTAGATCGAATTCAGAGTATGCATCAATAGTTTGGGCACCTCATTATCAAGTACATATATCTAATTTGGAAAATATCCAACGAACATTTTTGAAGTACTTATGTTTTGAAGTTGATGGCAACTACCCAGATGTAGGTCATCCACATGATCAACTTCTTTCAAGATTTTCAGTTGCTTCACTTCTAGATCGTCGAAATATGTCGCATGTTATATTCCCTTTCAATGTTATCCGGAACAATTTGGACTGCAGCTGCATTTTGGAGATGATACACTTTCATGTTCCCAGACTCACAACCCGGAGAAATAATAGTTTCTACCTTCCACTTTGTCGCACTAATGTTAAATTCCATGCACCTGTTTACAAGATGTGTTCGATATATAATACGATGAATGAAATCATTGACATCTTCTGCTGCAGTTTGGCATCCTTAGAAAAACTGGACTGTTCTTTTTTTTCCAATGTGTAAGAAAATAATTTTAGTAATACACTTAGTATATTCCTATTCTGTAATTGGATCTTGTATCTGTTGAATAATGTAATAAAAAAAAAGAACTGAAAAGTTTCGAGACAAATTCGAATTTGCTATTCAAATAACCATTTATTATGTTGAAAACGGGATTCGTTCTTGAAACGTCCAAAGCTAAGTGAAAATTCGATATTTTTCCTATATATCTTTATTTCTCTTTTCCAAACCTTTTTCAATACAAATTGTCACTGACAAGCTATGGTAAATTTTTCTTTCAGGCTCTCTGATAAAAAATTCTTTAAACGCAGTTACATTTTGTGGCAAATCATCTGATTTTTCCTCACTACACGTATATTGAAATATTATTCATATTTTCGTTTTATAGACACGATGAGAGGAAATCCCAAGAAATATGGAATAATGAATGTACCACCTCTTTCAGACAGTATTTGACAGTGTTGTTTGTGTTAGTAAGGGGCTTATTTAGCCATGATCAGATAGGTATTAAAAAAATACAGTTTTCAAAAAGAGTTAGCACTCTTTATATCTTGACTATGCATTTCCGGACGTATGATTATGAAAGCTTTTCGTCTTAGATTCACCCAAAAAATCATCTCTTGGAGTTCGCCCATATAAGATAATGTAATGACCTTGCATAAAACAGTGTATATTCACTTTTTTGTGAAGATAGTAGGTCACTTCTTCAGATGTGATGAAATGACAATATTTGATGTGATTGATGATGTTTCATCAAGTTATCTTCGATCACGTTCCTCCGCTACGTTGATATCTATCTATAATAGATTTTTCTACTCTCGTTTTATAATTATTGTTCATTTCAGAACAGATTCCTATTTCGATACATATTTTGGCCAACTTCTCATCATGGAACGAATTCTTGGCCTATCTGAAAACGTACTTGGAAATAACCAAGTGTTATATGTTTTTACATACTTGTTTGGTATTTAATTTGGATCGACATTCAAACACAACGCGTCAAAACCCTACCTAAGTATGAACGTTCCAAGTTCTGAAATATTATCTTGTACACCACCAGAAATGTATGATGTGTGAAAGGAAAAAATGATGAAAAAATTCACATGCGATTCATGGAAGCCTGAAAAAGGAAAAATAATGGTAGGTTCAATAGCTAGCATCAGTGTTACCAACGACCAGTTGTTGAAAAACGCCAATGTATAATTGGAAAAAAGCTAGAGAAGGCTAGATCATAAAAAAATGCGCTACAGGCGGAAAGTTTCCGAAATTTAGCTCATTTCTAGCTTTATTAATACTTATTTCATACTGCTCACCACTCGTCGCACTGGTCTGAACTTTTTCCGCACCCATCATTTTTTGTCTCTGTTCATCACGTGTAATTTCAAACGATGCATACATATGTATACAGAGACTACAATAGGGTATACGCGTATGAAAATTTTACACTGGAATATATTTTTGTTCCATTACTCATATGTATATATGTCGAATTATACATCCGAAAAACATTATTAAGCACCGAATATTTAATAATTTCTGATTGAAAATCATAATATTTCCAACTTTCAGACCAACAGCCGAACTGCAGCGATGATTTCCGACTGGATGTGGCTGTTTTTATTTGTCATGTCAAACATTCATGTCTGAAAGATTGATAATAATATAAGAAGAGAAAGTGAGGTTATGATTATCTGAGCTTGTAGTTTCTATAATCTATCTCAATTATATGATCTCAATATTCTGAATAATAATAACTGAATAATAAGCAAATATCTACAATAAGAATGATCAAACAGGACTTCTTTTTGCATGTTGTTTCAAATATATATTACCACCCATCAATTTATATCTCATATAGTTTTCCATATCTTCTTCAAGCTGACAACTAAATCACATATTATATTATTCTCCTAATATCATGAGGAACATAATCATTGATATATAATGGGTTTCACTAGGACATACTTGAACGTATAGGTACTCACTTCGAAATGGTCTTCACAAACAAATCCTCTGGTTTTCTCGGATAAATCATTTCTATTTATGGCTCGCAACCATAATTTCCTTTTCTATTTATTTTTATCACTCGATCACACTGTAGGCAATGAAAGGAATATTTTTCCTGGTGATACTTTTGTTGATGAAAGGCATTGCGGCACTACACAGTATTTGGTATAAACATTATCATTTTCCATTTTCAAATTTCAAATTTCTGGCGTTTGAAACTGTTTTTTTCTCCTACCACTTCTTCTTCTTTTTTTTTTCAATCTGAATCTTGTCATTCTGTCGCGCTAGTCTATGGCTGTGCGGCCTAATACTATGACGTCATAATATTAGTGATGGCCACTAACCCGTTTTCCTGTGACTTCATATTTAGTCTCATTTAAATGAAATTTTTAAGAGTAACAAGCAAATTTGAGATGAATGAATGATATCCAATGTTGTTATTATAAGGAAGAAGGAATATAATTTCGATTAAACAAAAAATCATGCGTATTCCTTATTATTCCAGTCGAATGGAAATAGTTATTCATACACCAAGGTAGTAAAGAATATCAATTTTACCCAGGGACTAAGATTATATCACGAGGCTCCAGCCGAGGGGTATAAGGTCTCGTGGTAATAATATTCTTTACTACCAAGGTTTATTTTCAATTTTTTTCACCACTAGCAATATACTTCAATTATTTCAGTTTTGTGAAACCGCAATATGTTCCTATTATCACTATTCAATAATTAGCCATGGCCATGACAGCAAATGACAAGTCGTTATTTATAAATACCTACTATAGATTCGAGTGCCATTCCTGCGCATCTCTGATTAGAACAGTACATTCGGGTTAATTACAATTCACAACATAGGTGGCTATGTCTTTATCGACTAGTGGTTCATAATATGACAAAAACTACCTTGGTAGTAAAAACACACTTTACGCCTCGAAAAGGAGTGAATGATGGTAGGTTTTATAGCTAGTGGTTAAAAACGCTATTTCAGTATTTAGAAGTTAGGAGTTAATGTTTCAGTTATCTCAATCAGGCGTTTGTGAATGTTTGAGTATTGATGAGCATGGCTTGTACATGATTCTAAAATGAGGATGCAAATAAAGTTTTTCATCGAATCAAATCGATAACAAAATAAGGAATTTTTTTGTCGAAACTATTCATTATTGGTCAAAACGGCTTACATGTCCCTATCTCAACTTTTGATTAAGTATCTACTGATATTTAATTGTGACATATACCGGGTGATCAAGATTCTGAATTCTGCACGACCCTGTACTTGTTTCAATTAAATGTCAGTAGATAGTTGATCAAAAGTTGAGATAGGGACATGTGAGCCGTTTTGACCAACAATCAATAGTTCCGACAAAAAAAATTCCTAAAGTTGAAAAATGTCGATTTTTCACACCCTATATCTCCATAAACGGCTAACGTACCATCGACCGTGAGTTCAGATAACCTAATGTAACTGAGGCATTGTAAGCAGCAATGATCTATCGTACATTAGCTGACAATCAACTCACTGTAATTCACTATAATCTCATCAGTTCTGAGATTCTCGTCAACTTGATAAAATGATATTCAAATCATCAATTATTGTATTTTTTCTGTGACGGGAAAAAAGTTTGGCATTTCATCTCTGTTGGCAGGTTATAAAATGTCACTTTTCATAAATTACTTTTTTCCCGTGGGAAAAAAGTGAGTACTTCTTTCCCGGATATATATCACATATATACACTCTGTTAATGGCTTTTGTTGTGCTATAGTTCCGAAAAATGAGTCAATAATACCGTCTCCGAGAAAGAACTGCAAGTCCTTTTATCTTCCATTCGACTTCGCGGTTTCGTATATTACTAAACAACTACTGAATTCGCAATTTTTTAAAATCAAATCACAGAATTGAACTGACAGAAGTGACATCAGATATTTGATTACTTCAAAAGAATGATAAAGATGTCTATAAAACGCAGGTGTCCCTACTGTTAAAAACTTGAAATTTCACGTCGATAATTTTCAGATTTCGAAATAATGTAATATCTTCTCAATATTGATTCGTCCTTCCTTCTGTCACAGAAAAAAATAGTGTATTATACACGGGAAAAATATTAGATTTTAGCTCACGGTTTTTTGTCTCCCTCCCGCTACGCGTCGGGAGACAACACAACCTGGAGCTAAAATCTACTACTTTTTTCCCTTGTATAATAAATAACTATTTTTATTGAAATTCAGGCAAAAACGAATAAATATATATGTAATATTCACAAAGTGGTATGGCTCCTATAGATCTTCACCATTTTCCTTCTCCTCCCCATCTTCCATCGTTCCATTTACCGTCGTCCCACCTGCCGTCGTCCCACCTTCCCTCATCCCACCTTCCATCATCCCATCTTCCGTCATCCCATCTCCCGTCACCAGAAACTCCAACTGCGATTCCGCCAAGTCCAACTCCGCCAAGTCCAACTCCGCCAAGCCCAACTCTACCGAGTCCAACTCCACCAAGCCCAGCTCCGGCGATTCCAAGATTCCCAATGCCAACACCAGCAACAACTGGTGCAGCCACTACAGCTGGAGCAACAGCAACAGCGACACCTCTTCCGTTGTGGCCAGTTGGTCCAACAGCACCAAGTCCAGTTACAATTCCTGAAGAAAAAGAAGGACAATGAGTAATCATCATTGATTCAGTGAACTTCATTGCAATATTTATAGTTCAATCTTCTACTGCAGTTTCTAGTGGAAGATTTTGTTTGAATACCACCAAACAATGGGCCTTTCCAGTATCTCAAAATTTAAGGGAGGTCAAAAACATTATTCTGACAGCAAATGAATTATCTAATATTGAAAATTCTACTACTGAGCTGATGTGAAGTCAGTGTCTCCTTGCAATTAGATTGGTTGGAGTTTATTGTGACGTCTGGGAAGCACACCACTGTTGCCAGGTCTCTATATAGAATGATTGAGTTGATCTTCTGCGCAAGATGGTGCGCGGAATACCATGATTCAAACTTACTTTGTACTAGGTGATTAGTTGATTTGTATTTCACTACTGATCACATTCAATTTACTCTGAGCTTTGAAATATTTCATTAGTTTCACGATAAGCTAGGATAAAATGTGCAGGCATCTTACTATAAGACGCTCTTCATATGGTTTGATTTGGTTCGAGTAATGACGTTATGATTTCGTTGACTAATTGGAAAAATCAACAAATTAAACAGTGTTACTATATCTCAAGTACTCATTCCCGAGAAATGTTATTGCTAATGCGGTAACTATGTTTACAAGAGGAGGAATTGATGTAACCCAAGTAGCACACATATATTGGGACAATATCGGTGCAATATTACGAAAATATCGGCAAAATATTGTGAAAGTAATATTGGCGAGAAAAAAAATGTGAACATTCGGCGATATTGGTACAATATCAGTTTCCAAATGTGGGTAGAATATTCTCATATTGATATTGGTTGAATATTCGTAGAGTAATATCGGACACAAAATGTAATATCAATATTGGCAAGAAATTAATGGTGAACATTCGGCAATATTGGTGTAATATATGGAAATATCGGTGAATCATTGGAAATCATCATGAAGAAATATTGGTTGAATATTCTCATACCAATATTGCTGGTACATTCGTGAAGTTATATTGGTGCAATATTGGTTGGGAATATTGGTACATTATTGAAAATCATTATGTAGCTATGTTGTCTTCGAAATATTGGTGGAATATTTTCATACCAATATTTGCGAGTTATTCGCATCAGGAATAATCACAAAGGTCAGCCCAGCCGGAGTGCAATGGGAGGGCCTTGCCCTAGGGAAGCCGCCTTGTTGATCACGGTTAACCCCTACTCCAGGTTATAATACTTCACAATCGTCTAGAGCCAATATTTAAATTCTCCCGTCGGATCGGCAATGAGAGTACGTTACCAATCATTTATAGCGCCATCTATCGACATCGGTTTAGGAGTGCGTAATATGGAATAAATATCGAAATTCCGATATCGATATGTATTCTCAAAACAATATGTGAACAATATTGCTTATACATGATATAGTGAATCACATATCAGCCAATATAAGATGATATTATTTTCTGAATATGGCTAGAAAACTATTCACCCGATATGCAATTGAACTTGAAAATACAATATTGTTTTTCTCTTCTATGTCCGATATAAGATACATATTGAATTGCCGTTATTGATATTCATATTTGAATCATTGAAAACCCCTTCAGAATCGACATGTAGAGAATGTTCAAATTGCTATATTGGTTATAATCGTTGGAAACAATATGTATACGATATCTTCCGCATGATATGGATAGAATGATATTAATCAAGATAGGTGAATATGATATTTCGAATATTGTTGAAACAATATTCAACCAATATGCCGTCGAACTCAAATATACAATATTGCACAACCGCTTCAGAATCAACATGGGGACAATATTCAAATCGCGATATTGGTTATAAATGTAAGAAGCAAATTGTATATGATATCTTCCGCATGATATAGATAAAATGATATCAATCAAGATGGGTGAATATAATGTTTCAAATATTGTTAAAACAATATCCAACCGATATGCCGTTTAACTTGAAAATACAATATTGCATAACCGCTTCAGAATCGACATGGGGAGAATGTTCAAATTGCAATATTGGTTGTAAATGTCGGGAACAATATGTATACGATGTTGTTGTATCGACATTCGTATAACAATATTATATAACATTCATAGATCTGTTTTTCAACACATTGTTAACGAATTTTACAACCAATATTGCTCCAATATTGTAGCTGACAATCTATATCCAGCTCAGGTTGAACCAATATTCCACCAATATTATCATTCCAATATTGTTTGTCCAATATACTCTCATATTGGACCTATATTATTTTTCACATGTACGATATATCTATATCGGCCCAATATGAAATCGGGTTCCAGCCAATATGATGTGCTACCTGGGAACAGGCGCTTACACAATGTTATCAAGTTGAAATACTAATTCTTCGCATAACTTTTTTGTTCTCATTTCTCAATATTATTGACAAGAAGACAGTTATATAATATGCTTGTACTGAAATCAACCAAAAAAGGAATTTAGTATTGAATGATTCAAAATTTGTTCTTTTTCCTATAATATAGGTAGGTACGTATTGTATGTATAGGTGATCTAAACTTGAAAGTACCTCACTGGAAGGGATTTGAAATTGAATGTCATGAATATCTGCACTGTGATTCAATACAAAATGAGAGTACACTCACAATTTTCAATAATCCACCAACAGGAATCAATCATCTAACTTATTATTGAGTTATCAGCCTTTGCAGCATCTGTAATATTCTATCTGTAGTAAAAGTCCATGGTTTGTAGTAAATGGATGGAGTATTAAAAAAATTCCTAGTCATTTCCAAAATTGAATTGTGGAGATGAATGAGAGTTTTCATACTAATTCGTCTGTAAATAGGTAAGTTACTCAAAATAAGAAACTACAAAATTAATATCCGACTCATAATAGCAGTCTGTCCAAATTGGAATCATTGTCAAGTCCGTTGTGCATTTTATATTGGCACACGTTTCGCGGCCATGTCTAATCGTTTGAATTCACTTTTTCGTTTTGGCGATTTTTTTTCATTAGATGAATTGATTTTCATTAAAGTTAAATGTGACACTTTGTTTGACTAGCGAAATTCGTGGAGTCGAAAAGAACCACTTTTGATCCGAATGAAACATGCTTTTTTCCTGCAATCATGGCAATCAAAATAATTGATACTTGAATTATAAAATATAAGTGAAGTTACCAATATTTCATTTCAAGTTCCTATATGGGAGTCGAATTTCAACTTAGGCTCCTATAGACACTATAGAAGTGTGGCATAGCATCAATATACATACTTCGAGTTCAAGAGGTAATTTTGGAACAAAAATAAATGACTTTTGAGTCGATAGCAAAAAAAAGCATTTCAGGGTATTCCAAAGCCATATATTTCGAGAGGTTGTTTTTCTAAGAAATGACTAGAAAGGCTCATTGGCCTAATCATGAAAATATAATAGTTTCAAGTCATTCATGACCCATTTTCATACCTGATGGTCCTCTAGCTCCGGCACCATTCACGACTCCAGAAGGTCCAGCAGCTCCGGCTCCAGTAACAACTCCTGACGGACCGATATCACCAGCAGGCCATGGTTTCACTGCTACAGCGATAGCTTTGCCTCCCCATCCACCTACACCACCCCATCCACCTGCACCACCCCATCCACCAAGACCAAGTCCATTGACACGGCCCAATCCCAATCCACCGATGTTGCCCAATCCACCTACTCCCACACCAACGGCTCCCAACTCCCCGATGCCTCCCCAACCGCCAGCGTGGGCGCTGATGGCGAATGCGGCAAAGAGCGATATGTACTGAAAAACAAAAAATATTTAGCGCATATATTCAGCAAATATCAAATCTCTGGACGCCTTCTGGCCCAGTACATGATTGATCGGCAAATGTCAAATGTCGGTCAATTTTTATTATGATTTCACCTATATCACCTACGTCTACTCATTATATATATTTTTCATGTTCTGGTTCTCACGAAAAGGGGTATCCTGTGATGTTCAGAGAACATCGTGAGAACCACGGGAAATAAGGTAGGAATTGGTGTTCTTCTTGAATTTCTGGAGGTTATATGCCATGGGGAACACCTCCCGTGGCAATGTGTTCCAGAGCCCCGCTGTTCGTTGGATGAACGAGTCTGTGGAAAGAGATGTTCTGCAGGTCTCCAAGGAAAAAAAGTGCAAAAGATAGGCAACACTTGGTGGAAGATGAAACAACAAATCGACGGAGTCAACAAACAGAAGCCAGCCGCACAATTATTATTGTGGTTTGGGTCGGATGTCACGCAGGTAGCTATAGCTGCCTCGTGGGGCGTTAGTTGTAGCCCTGAAAATGCAGGGTCTTGTTTCTTGAAAAGTGTAACATAGATTCAAAGAAACTGTTTTGGCTGATTCATGGAACTAGCACTAGAAATGTATATAGATCATGATTATGAATATCTTCATTGCCGATGATGGTACCTCAGAACAAAAAAGTCGGTATAATTGTGAACTCTGAATTCCTTCTATAGATACTGTAGGTACAGTTTTCGAATTCGAAATATTTCTTGAATCAAATGAATACTCCAGATGAATTATCTTCTACATCAGATTGATTAACTGGTGAAAACCGCTTTCTCGATATATATCTCCGTATTAGAAATAAGATGTTTTTAGAAAATGTGCATTTTTGAAAAGTGGCAAGTAATAATGTTATTAGAAAGTTTTTTATCCTCGTGGAAACATTTTCAGAGCATAGAGTTTGTGACAAAAGTTGATCACCAGGTACTGAAATCAGTCCTCATATAATTACATAATTATAGTTCAATATCATAACTTATTCTTGTTTGAGTAGTATCATTTCCGAACTAGATATACCCAAACGATGAATGATTTCAATGTCTGACGATCACTTTACATGACAAGAACAATGCTTTGGAGATGTTTGCATCAAAAATAGTTATTTGTTTAACTAGGCAGCAAAGTAGTAGATTGACTGCCGAGGCTGAATTCATAGCCGAGCGTAGCGATAGAAATCGCAGTTGTTGGAATCGTTGGTTGCTATGGAAATGTCCATAATAATTATAGTTTGACAATTCATGAAATTTCTGACAG